CGCCAAACACCTAAATTCTAGACAAGCCCGTTGATCCCAACCTGTACCAACCTTCTCTCTTCCCTGTTTGCGCACCACATTCGTCTGTGCAAGTTTGGGATCAGACACAGCACCCTCCGCCACTCCACCGAATGCACCTACCGATTCACTGACCAAAGACGGTTTCTGGCACCCCTTTACCATTCCGGTCAGCAGGTCTGGCTTTCCTCTAAAGACCTTTCACCTAGAACCACCTCCCGAAAACTGCCCCCTCGCTTTACTGGTCCCCATGTCATCGATTCCATAATCAGCCCCATAGCCGTCCGCCTCTGTCTGCCCCTGCGCTCCCGTATGCACCAGGCCTTCCATGTTTCCCAGCTCAAGTCGGTTTGCTCCAGTTCATTATGTGTTTTTGAATGTGGGCTAAAGACTGTGTGTGGTTCTAAAGACTAGGACTTTCTCTAAAGGCTGTTAATGGTTCTAAAGACTGGGATTGGTTCTAAAGACTGTTAATTGCTCTAAAAAATGTTCATGGTTCTAAAGTTAGCTACAATTGAGTTTTAAGAATGATTTTGGAAATGAATTTCTGCTGTCTTGATGGGTTGAAATGACTCTGGTCTTCTTTGTAAACAGCTAACAGTAAAATGCGTTTTCCTTCCACTCCTGACTGGATGACATCAGCAACAGAGGAGTACGTCTCTATAAAACTGTTAACCAGGCCTGAATTAATTAAATTCTGTTTATTTCTATTGCGCCAATTCACATCATGTCATCTCTAGGTATTTTACAGAGACAATTCAACCAGATCATTCAGTCAGATTGTTTCAAAGTTTTCTATCAAAGGAAAGCCAGCTGATTGCATTGACTCATTGACTCAAAAGCAGTTCCTCACACCAGCCTTACTGTTCACTGCACTATATAGTTCAGGAAACCCTTTCCTGGAAACAGCCGATCATTTTGGTGTTAAAGGGCTGGTGTTGGTCAGTAAAATGGCTTTCAAATTGTCACTCAATTTTGGTGAGAGGAGAAAAAAAAAGAAGGGTTTTGTAAGAGATATAAGAAAAGATAAGAATCCACCAAAGTTCTAAAAGTGATCATTTGGTAAAAAAGAGGTTGATCTCAGTGTTCAGCTGATATTTCAGGTTTAATGTTGCAGGCACTAATCTGATATAGTTAAGCATAAGAAAGACGTACCTTAAGTAGCTGATCCTGCGAGATGCACGGAGGAACGTTGTAGTAGTGGAGCACAGCAGACGGAGGCTGGATGATGTTCTTGGAGGCTTGTCCGGCACTGCTGAAGCGGTTATTCCTGGTCATTGCGAAGTCTTTGTAGCTGCTGCTGCCATCCTCCAACTCAAAGACCTGACTGGGAATCACCGCCTGCTGCTTAGAGACGCTGTCCACAGCAACAAGACAACAGCAACGTTACCAGTCTAAGCTTATGCGGACGACAACCAAACATATCCGCATCAGTCCTCCTCTCACCACACATTCAGCCTCTTTCCAAACAACTTGATGCTGTTAAGGTGAGTGATCGCTCGGTCCACTGCGTACTCGTCCCCCATCTCCACCAGCGCTGTACCAGGAACGCTCTTCATAAACTTCACCTACAGCGACATAAATATCCCATCCAATCAGAGACCAGGCCAGTTAAGCATGGTTAGCCTTAGACAGAGGTCACAGCAATGCCTTTTTCTATTTGTTTAACATTTCTTTGTTTTGAGAGCTCAACTGCAGGACTGTCCAAGTTCTGATTGAAGCACAGAAATGGATCTTGGTCTAAAGGAATAAAATCCCAGATACAAGCAATGGACAAGAGCTTCTTCCATTGACTAGCCAGACTCAGCTTATGGGTCATGTGATAAGCACTGGAAGGAGATCCCAGGAAAGACCCAGATTACTCTGGAGAGACAATACAGCACCTCTGAGCTCATTTGGTTCCCTTGATTGACTCGGTACCACAGGACAGGAAGCATAAATACTGAGGAGGAGGGAAAAGTAACATGGAAACCTTAAGAGCAGGGACACAAGATGAAGGAGACTAATCCACACAGAACGGTCTACAATTAAAATGAAAATCTAACAGTGATCTGAGAGAATACAATCAAAACAAACAGAGGAAAGAACACCAGGAATAAAGCAAGAAACTAAATATGGAAAAACCTTCCATCCATCCATCCACCTTCCATCACGCTTATCCCTGCTGGGGTAGCGAGGGGTGCTGGTGCCTATTTCCAGCTGCTGTCTACAGGTGAGAGGCGGGTTCCACAAGTTGCCAGTCCATAGCAGGGCAACACAGAGACAAACAGGACAAACCACAGACACTCATACCTAGGGGAATTTAGAGAGGCCAATTAACCTAACAGTCATGTTTTTGGACTGTGAAAGGAAGCCGGGGTACCCGGAGAGAACCCACACATGCTCAGGGAGAACATGCAAACTCAATGCAGAAAGACCCATGGGAATCTAACCCGGAACTTTCTTGCTGGAAGAAGACCCATATCAAAAATTAAAAATAGAAAAATATGGAAAACCCTCAACAGCAAATAATAATAAAAAAAAAACAACAGAAAGGTCAAAGCGGAAACAGACAAAGACATAAAAAAAGCCTTGCAGAAAAGCAAGATTTCTATTTTTGGAATGAAAATATTAAATTGAGTAGAAAACAATCAGTTTCCTCGTTTTCCAGTCACTTTTGTTGAAATTTGCATTTTCCCATTCTCTAGCTTTTTCTCCGCCTGGCACTTCTTTTCCGAACATAAGGCTCTACGATCAACCGAAAGAAGTTCAAATAATAGAAGTGCAAATATATTGGATATAATATATCTGACGAAATTGTTGTTATAAACGTATCTGGTTTATTTTAATAAAGCATTTTAAATGCTAAGAGAAGCACATTTAATGAATTTTAATGCCAATTAAGGCTTTGATTTAAGAAATAATAATTTAATGACTTTTAATTATTTTTAATGACCTGGGGAAACCCTGTAAAAACACAAACTGTCCTACCTTCTCTATGTTACCGTAGAGACAGAAGAGGTTGAAGATGCGGGTGCAGTTCATCTTGGATGGATGTAGGCCGCTCACCATGGCGACAGAGCTGGGGGTGTGGCCGGAGTAGGAGGGGGAGGACTGGGGCAGAGGGTAGGACACCATTTCTGGGACGTCCACTGAGGCCAGCTTGTACCTGCTGCTACTGGTGAGAGGCAGTAGGGGGCAGGCTAGACCTGAGGGATGAGCAGCACACAGAGTTAATGTTTCCCTAAAACATTACCATGTCTGTTTGGGTTGTTTTAAAGAGCTGCAATGTTTGGTCCTTTTCCTCCCTCAAATATCAAACTACATCTAGTTTCTTTACTGAAGTGTTCAACCGCCTTGAAGTTTGTCTCATTTGGTCAATTTAACCCAAAACTTCAAGATGTTTATAAAGTCACAAACAACACCCCGCTGTGATGTGAATAAAACTCGAATAAAACCACCAAGGTTCATTAGTGACCAGAGTCCAGCTGCATGTAACTGAATCTAACTGTTCTGATTCTGGTCTCAGTGGTCTGCAGAAACAATCTACAAATAAGTAGAATTGTCTTAAAGTCTATTTACCCTTAATCTGAGCAGGAAAATAAGATGATTTGCAACTCGAATGAGTATTTTTTACTCTTAAAATAAGATAATCAGATAGTAAGCACTTGAAAGAAGTCAGTTCAGTTGTTTTTGTTCTTTTAAATCATCTTGTTTCATTGAAAAAGTGTCTCGCTTACCACCTAAAATTAAAATATTCACTTATTTTGAAGAAAATTACTTGAGGTTTCAATGTTTTGCTGAGTAAATAAATTATTTGAACTTTGCAAACACACAATAAATTACTCTAAAAACCTTTTTTTAAAAGTAAAAACTTTTTCAAATGTCCTTTTCTTAAAACATATTCTTTGTTTTCAATAACATGTTAACAATTTCTCTTCATTCTGGTTTTCCTTAGATAGAAAACTTTAACCGGTCTGTCTGGGTGACCTGATCAAACTGTCTGTGGAGCACCTTGAGATGAATTGGTGCAACACCAATATAATGAAGCTAATCTGTAAGGCAGCCAGGCAGGATGGGACACGTTCATAAAAACAACAGGAGGAAAAAGCAAACAGTGGTTCTGCTTTAAAGTAAGTTTGAACCCGACGAGGAGAAAAGTCTGAGACCAACTCAGCCTGTTTGTTGGGCTGCAGATCTGCTGAGTCAACCTGACTGGTGATTCAGCTACAGACTGTCAGAAAACCTCTGACTTCTGAATCAGACTAATCTCTGGAGTCTACACAACAAGTCCTGCCCAGTCGAACCGAGTACAACCAGGGTGTTGATCTGCACAAGTTGAGGGAAGCAGACTCTGCTGTGCTTCTGAACTTAATTCTGATCAAATTTAGGAATGTCCAGCTGTTATCTGGTGTTTAGATTGGGTGTGGAGGTCTCACCATAGCCGTTGTCAGCGTAGGAGGAGGGATGTTCTCCTAAAATGGCCTGCTTTTGTCTTCCCTTCCCACGTTCTGCAAAACAAACAAACACGTTAGAAAAGCTCAGTCATTCTTTAACATCTCAGACCAACACATCTGCTGCTTTCAAAAATCAAAACTGCTCTCAATGTATATTAACTCCTGGACCAATGCCTCGGGCATCAGGAGAGAAACCACTGCCTGATTTCAGTCTGACACATCTGACGGTCCACTGAGGAAGAAGAGGGCCAACTGATGACCTGCAGCTTTAGGAGCCAGCAAACCATAATGGAGGATATCAGGCGGACAGGATCAGGAAAGCTTCATGCTCTGACCTTACTCTGAACCTGCTGGAACGCTGTCTGAGGAGCTTCCCTCTGGGAATCCTCTCTCACCCTGCAGGAACAGGCAGCTGGTCTAGAAATTAGTCCTTTCAGGTGGATGGACAGAAACTCTGAACCCTCAGCTGCTCCCTCTCTGATATGATGGATAGCTAGCTCAATATGATGAGAGCAGCCCAATTTCTCCAGAGGTTTACTTCTCAGTGCATGATGGGTAACCATGGGAATTCCCTCAGTACCCCCTCCATTCAGTCCGACCTTCAGAGAGATACCAGGGCTCGTCTCTGCATCTAATCATAGATATGAAGGAGACAAATCAGTGATCATCTGATTCCATTATCACCATGGAAACACACAGATGTTTATTACAAACTAACTGTTGGGATTTTTGCTAAGTTTGTCAGAAAACGAATATCTTCTTTCACATATTTGTACAGAAAAACCGCAACAATCCACTGCTTCCAGTTCCTGATTTAGTCTGAAAGGTTCTGCCAGCTGAAGCAGGCCTCATCATCGGCTATGCTTACAGATCCACAGAGAGCCAGTTTAGGAAGCTATGAATGCTGAATAAGGCATCAGGAGGGTGGGGCGTCTGCTAACGCTCTGAGGAGGGAACTAGTTCCAAGTTTTTAAAAATCTGTTAGATCAGGGGTCAGCTATTAAAAATCAGCGAGGTCCGAATAGAGAAAATCAACAACCAGTAAAGGTCCGGAGACATTTATGAATTATAATCTGTTACTCTGAACAGAATTTTTGAATACAAAAATAAATATATATAAAAGAAAATTGTTCCATTTTAAAATCTTAAGTCTTTTTTTAAGTAGAGAACAACAATCAGTTCAGTTTGGTATATAGACAATTTCCTGATTTACATATTTTAACACCTAAACTGACTGTTTGTTATTTTCTTTCTTTTTCCTTTCTTAAAGGAGAAGTTTGGTTTTTAACACTTTTAGCCCATTTTCTGTAGTGTCCAGGATGAAATCGAATGATCGACACCAAAATTTTGACAATTGGTCCTGTCTC